CAATCCCAAGGAGAGCAGCCCTTTCATCAACAGCACGGACCTGGAGAAGGGCAAGGAGTACGATGGCAAGAACATGGCCCTCTTCGAGGTAGGGCATGTGGGTGGTGGGGCAGGGAGGGTCCCTGGGAAGGGGGCTGAGCTGGGCAGGTGCCCCACGGTACTCCGACCCATGCCCTGGGCACTGGGACATGCTGGAGCCCCAGGACAGGCTCTCCCAGCTATGCCACCGTAGTGGGGTGGCATCTGGTGAAGTCCCTGGGTCCCAGAGCTGGCCGGTATCCTGAGGGACTGTTGTTATGGCCCGGGGCTCTGCTCTCCACAGGAGGAGATGGACACCAGCCCCATGGTCTCGTCCCTGCTGAGCGGGCTGGCCAACTACACCAACCTGCCACAAGGCAGCCGGGAGCACGAGGAGGCTGAGAACAATGATGGGGGCAAGAAGAAGCCGGTGCAGGTGAGTGACACGGGGGGGGGGGGCAGTCCCTGCCCCATGGGCTGCCTCAGGGACAGCTGGGTCCCTTGGGTGCTGCTGGGGGTCAGTCTCCCCTGGGGTCGCTGGCTGTGTTGCAGGAGGAGCAAGCCCCCTCGCTCCTCTGACAGCCAGGCCCGTGAGCCCTGACAGCTGCCCGCTCTCTTGGCAGGCCCCGCGGATGGGCACCTTCATGGGTGTCTACCTGCCCTGTCTCCAGAACATCTTTGGTGTCATTCTCTTCCTGCGCCTCACCTGGGTGGTGGGGATCGCTGGCATCATGGAGTCCTTCTGCATGGTCTTCCTCTGCTGCTCCTGTGTGAGTGATGGACCCCTGTGGGCCCCGCTCAGGGGCTGGGGGTCACCTGCTGGGCTTGTGATCACTGCACTGGCTGCTGGCCCACCCTGCCCCTACCCCTACCCCACTTACAGCAAGGAGAAGCCTTCAGCTTCCCAAAGGAACTGTCAGCAGAACGGTGCCCAAATGGTGACCCAGATCATAGCTGCCATGCAGAGGGGCTGCGGCAGAGGGGCCCTTGCCCACCCGTCCTGCCAGGACAGAGTTTGGGGAGCGGCTGAACACGGGCAGCTTCTTGGGCAGCCCAGGGACCCCCACCCCTCATGGTACTGCTGGTCCTTCCAAAGTGTGCAGCGCCCTGGCTGTGCTGC